CTTGTTTTCTTTTTCTATGAACGTTTACTCAGAGGACAATAGACCTAACAATCCATCAAGTTCCATTAACTGGGAAAATTTAATTTTTTTTTTCTTTTTTACTTTGGAAAAACACGAAAATTCCCTATACATCTTTAATACTTACGCGACTGTTTTTTTTTTTTTGTTTTTTTTTTCTTTGTTTTGTCTTTACACGTTTGTTAACATCTCGCTCGTGTTTCTCTCTCTCTCTCTCTTTTTCTTCGATTTGAGCTGCGCTTAAGTTACAAGTTACAAATGTTCAGGACTTTTTGGGAAAATAGTTGCACGAAGCTCAGCAACGCTAGGCGTAAGCGTTCGCGGTTCTCAAGCGGCAGAACCGTTTCGTCAGCGACGAAATCACGATCTCTCAGATCATGGGATTTTTTTTTGATTACATCGAATAACCGAAGCTTTGCGACACTGAACATACACAACGAGAAGACTTTGAGAATTTTGGTTAACCATCCTCCATCGAACGATCATTCGAGAAATTGTTTTCCGTGACTTTTTTTTTTTGTAACTTTCAAAGCTGAAAACGTTTCCACCCGTTCGACGTCGTCGCCCGTGGAAACGACGATGGAAATCCCGGCCGAACGAGGGGAAATCTCTGAGAGACCGATTCAACGATTTAAGCGTGAATTCTTCGCATTCGGATCGTAACTTCATCCACCACCACCCACCACCAACTCACCCACTTACTTAATCATCATCCTTATCCATTAGATCTATTTCACACTGAGCGAACGATTCGTGCGCGTGTCGGTTTTCCGAGCGGTGTTCTCGCACTGAAGAAGAGACTTTCACTTTCCACTCTGGCGAAAGGAATCGCCGAGCGAATTGTGCACACGTGTGTCGATGAACGTGTGTCGATACGCTAGGCGCTCTACGCGCCGATACTATTCTCTTCCCTTTGAATACTCTTTGTGAATATGTCCGTGATCCGCACGCACGCAGCACCCACGCACAATATAATTCTGTTTTTATTTTTTCTTTCTTTTTTTCCACGTTCGAATATAATATCACACTGAGCCGGCTGTGTGCTATTTTGCGAGTGTGTGTGTGTCCATCTGTGTGTTGTTTTCGTCTTCGTTCTTCCTCGTGAAGGAAATGAATGTTGTTGCTCGGCCTGTTACGGTCCGCGGGCCCCAATGCTTTCGTCACGCGTTCAACGAGGAGGATGCGCCGACGAGGATGAGGATGAGGATGAGGATTAGGAGGAGGAGGAGAAGGACTTTCATCCGCGAATCGGCGTTCCACTCTCGCCGTATCGCCCGCGAACGTAGAAAGTTCGAATTGGGGCACTGTCTCAGTTCTCGGGGGTTTCCTCTCGGTCTCGATACGTCTCGACGCGTATTTATGGAACACCTGTGGCGCTCGACGTCCCTCGGTCCTGGCTAGTAGCATTTCCGGGTGCACGTGCATTTGCGCACCAGATCGACGTCCTTCGTGTACCGCATACCGTCGGCGCAGATCAGTCGTACCTGCGAATTGACGTCAATCTGCGTGTAACTTTAAGTTAGAATTATGGAAGTTATGGCGAAGACAGAGCCATATGCACGTATGCTGTGGGAACTTTTGCATCGACACTCAAAGTGTCGTGTTACACCGCTTGATAAGAGAACAGAGTGTCCGCGTGAAGTGAAATCGTACGTACCTTGCGCCGTTTCGTCTTCCGTGGCAGACAACAAGAGTTGCCACAACTACCCCAACACTTGGCAAGTTTCACTGGTCGTCGACTCCGACATCCGTTCTCGCTGTAATACTCTCTGGTGTGCTCTTTGCGACACGTCGGTGCTGCAACAACGACAGAACGCGCCCGAGACGCGTTTACGTCCAATCTTTCTTACGTCTCTTTCGTTCGTTTCCGAACGAGCTCTCTCTCGATGCTTGTCTTCTTCGTCGAGACGAGATTGAAAGAAAGAAAGAAAATTTCATCCCCGGCCATTGAACTCGGGTGTGGAACGCCTACCTTTCTCGCAATACCGTCCTTGCCATCCAGTTTGACACCGGCAGGTATATCCGTTCCCGATCGGCGATGGCACGCACTGCGAACCTTTCCTGCACTCGTGTCCCGCGCAGGGATCGGAGATTATCGCGCCGGGTCCTGTCATAACGATGTCTGCAACACAGAATTGCCACATTAGTACATCGATCCATTCCGTTCGATTCCGCGTAAAAAAATTCAACGTGGGGGCGAGGAGATTGTCGCAGCGAAGACAAGCTTGAGACTGTCCAAGTTTTATGAGAGTATGCGTGCGAAAGACCAAGGTTTCGAGGGTAAGATTTCGCGATAATCGCGATAATGGCTCGGAAAATTACCACGTGGTGAGTCCAATTTGTGGTGTTTTCCCTGCTAGGAATGAGCACTTGTCTTTAAACTTGATGAGAAGAAAAAAGAGATGAAGAAAAATCGAAGGGAGAGGGAAAGTAGCGTAGGTGACCAACTGCTGGAATAAATGTTCGAAAGACTATCATTGACTCAGTGTTAGCACTGAGCCAATATCGTCAGGATTGCCATCCAACATGGAATGGCAAATTTCGCGCAACAAACTGTCAAGTCAAATATCAGACTGATGAGCAAGGTGTAAATGTGGTCGGACTTTACCGGAATGTTCGTGAGCCATGTTCTCTTGTGGTATCGGTTCCTCGTTGCTGCCGCTTCCCATAATTCCTTCCGCTTCCACGACGTCTCGCGCCTCGTCAGCTTCTTCCTCGTTCGACATGCATCCGGGAGTTACGCGATGCATCTTCGCGGCGTTGCTGAAGTCTACCAACTTGTGATTAATCCACATCTCGGTGATGCAGCCTGCAAGTTCGGCAAGAGCAAGTCGTTACACACCGCTATTCGATTTTAACATTCTGGTTTAACGGCGGAGAATGTCAGAGACTGGGAATTCCAGCGTGTCGGACAACAAATTGAATAACAATGGGATTGTCGCTGTCGAAGGACCATCCACTGTTGTGAACAACAGTCTGGTCTGACTTGGTTTATCTTTATCATGCAACAAGTCTACTCGATATTGGCTTCTAGTCGATTCAGAGAGCCTGGCTTGTCTCGAAAGATACACTCACAAGGGAACGTACCGAATTGTCGTGAATCATCGATGAAAATTTGATGAAATTTGGAATAAATGTAGTTTTCAATAAAATATTTGATCCGTGCTTTTTTTTTATGCCGAACTGAACTCGAATCAATGACTAAGCGTCTGAGAGTTAGTTTCTTGAAACTGGGGCCGAGAAACGTGAATTAACACAAATGTTTGGAAATTCCTAATTTGACGAGCTGAGCTTTGGAACCGTTGGCTTCAACTTCTTACCTGTGAATGAGTACACTCATCGTGAAGAAATGGCAGTTTTTTGTGTAACGACGAGTATACTCGTCATGCAAGAAAAGTTGTCACTTAAATTACAAAATAAGTTTGTTACTTAATGAATCAAAATTTTTTGTGGAAAATAAATCTTGAGGCTTGACTTGATTAATATTAATTAAACCATGAATTTTTCGAAAAGAAAGTATAATTCAATTTTACGACAGCTGTGCTTAACGAGTACAAAGTTATCGTATTGACGCTAAAAACGGCACAGTCAAGAAGTTAACAGGATTCATATTTTTACCTTGGAAGCTAGTGATGTTCCTCAGATGAAACTCCGTGAACGCAATGTTGGCAACCTCGGGAGCAACGCCGCCGACGTACATAGACGTGACGAGTTTCAGGTACTCCTTCGGACCCTCGTTAATGATGCTTCTAGCAGGACCGCGGTCGACTCTCATCGTGAAGTTCTTCTTGATCGCGAGCAGTTCAGCCACGTGGGATTTGCCATCGGCGACCATCTCGTAACTGTACATCGTCGAGGTTGGGTAGTTGCCAACGTCGTACGAGACTCTGACGCGGCCGTTGAACAACTCGACGGCGATATGGTCGCCGTTCTGGCCGTCGTAGAGGAGAACCCCGTTTTCCTGCGTGGTCGTGAAGACGATGGTCACGTTCGCTTCGGGCCTCGTGCGTAGCGGCTCCAGCTCGACCAGCGAGCTGTTGTCCACGAAGCTCAAACTCGTCAGGTACTCGCATCGTTTTCCTTTAATCAGGAGACCTTTAGTTACCTTCAGTTATCTTCAGCGACTGCGTGTTGATCATATATTCTGTACAATTGAACGATCGGATTTTTCATTGAGCGTTTCGGGTTTCTTCATCTTTCTTTCTCCGTCAGTTCCCCGGACATTTTTGACGGAAAGAAAACTGATTGATGACTAGCGTCGTTCTTGATAAAATTTTTGAGAATCTTGTCGTTTACGAGAAATCTATGTAAATCAACGTGAATCGTCTTAGGAAGATAGCGTGAAGAAACATAAATTTGGAGATCAGAGGTGGCTAACTGGCGGCCCTTGCCCCTACTTTCCTAGCTCTATCCCCTCCACTGCGTTGAGAGTGTCATGGCGCAGCCGCGATATTCACATTACGTATACACATATACATATAAATTGTTTTCTTTACTGTAGTTGTTGAAGTTAACAAGTTGCGAAACAGAATGGGAATTAATTTTCGATAGATTGTGAGTGAGTAGCTTGTTTGGCCCGAGGTGAAAAAAAAGTTTGCTATGTGGCGAAGTATATAGCGCCCGTGAGATTGTACAATAGTCAACGTCTGATTGTATGAAATCCATTTGGAATTTCGCAGAGTGGAGGAACATATGTCTCTCGGTAAAACGAAGAAAAAGAATTGACTCACCGGTGTAGCCGGGGTGGCACTGGCAAAGATAGTCCGCGGCGGAAGCGGGAGCAGGTTGGAAGCACGCACCGTGCTGACAGTCATGGTGTGCACACGGACTAGTCTGTGGATAGAGCATGGCTGTCGAGGGTGCTGCCTCGCAGTACCTGCCCGTGTATTCCGCCGCGCACTTGCACTCGTAATTGTTTATGCCGTCGATGCAAGTAGCACCGTTCTGAAAAGAGAAACAGAAAAAAGGGGGAAAAAAAAGATGAAATTAGAAAGCAGAAAGCTGGATAGATCGATTCGACGAAAAGAACGGAACCGGATACCTGGCACATATGATCAACGCAGTCATCCAAGTTGGTGGAACAATTGAGGCCGGTGAAGCCGATTGGGCATTCGCAGCTATAGTGGGTCCCGTGGTCGACGCATCGGCCCCCGTTCTCGCAGGGGTCGTGCCCTTTTGTGCAAAAGGGTATCTTCTCCTCGCAGTACTCGCCCATGAATCCTGGGGCGCAGTCGCATCTGTAGGCTTGGACGAGGTCGACGCAGGTTGCGTTATTCGCGCACTTGTTGTCCTCGCAGTCGTCGACGTTGTTCTCGCATCGAAGTCCCTTGTACCCGGGGGCGCAGTCGCAACTGTCACACACCGACTGATCGTCAATCGAGACATTGACCATGATCTTCGATCGCGGTATATCCGCCACATCGGTTTAGTTACACGTAATCGATTCATCGACCATTCATCGACTGCGTCTCTCTCGACGTTTGGAAATTTTTTCCCCAAATTTGTTTAATTTCACTTTCTCGTTTTAGTTTTATTCTATACTATCGTTTAGTATTTCGTAAAAAAGAAAAGAAATTTATATGTAACATCTGATCGCTGACACGCGATATATTCTTTCGCTGATTTTGTCGTGATATTTTTGTACGATAAACGAGGCCAAACGATATCGCTCTCGAAGAAAGAACCGCTGAATTATAATCGCTTCGTCGATAGATCGTTACGTGTACCTGCTACTCTTCGGGGCTCACGTGCAGAGGTCCCGTTTTATTTATTCATACAACAGTGCACGCTTTTTTGCACGTGCAATTTACTGCTACTGAAACTACATTTCATACTCTACTTATACGTTAAACAGCGTTTTTACAATGCAAATACACTTGCCTTGTGTATTTTCTTTTTTCCATTTTTTTTTTTTTTTTTTTTTTTTTTTTTTATTACCGGGAGGGAATATTAAGTCTTTCCTTGCATGTTTACAAATTCTCTAGAAAAAAAAAGAAAGGAAAAAAAAAGAAGTAAAAAGAATCATCGACTCGTACTACTAGACAGTGAGATACACTTCAGCCAAATTATAGATTTTTCTTTTTTCTTTTTTTCTTTTTCAATCGAACGATGCCAATTTCAACTTTCGTCACGATCAACGCAATACTCTACACGGTAGATATACTCAAAGCTGCTGTCTCGCCAAATAAGTAAGTACGTTCTCGTGCACGTCTACTCAATTTTTGACCAACACTACTGCCTGCCGCGTCCGCGGAAGGTAGCCATCAGACAGACTTGCTACAGCAAATGCACACACGATGTTCGACACATCGTGATTCTGTGTCTGCAGTAGAATTCCAATCGCGACGTCCCGCGTCTCTCTTTTGATCGATGAATCAATCAACGATTAAAGATAGCTCTAGAAA